GACAGATGGATAGAGACACAGACCGACGTACGAACAGAGTGCCGCCTCGCCCCGCTAATCATCATTCACTCCGAAGATATACTGTGAATTTTTTCTCCCTCCTTGTGCTTGACAACCTAACGTGATGAAGATGGCATCGCGAATTTTTTCCGCTGTTGCCTTTTGTGAATGCTACGTAAGAAAAGGAGAACCCCAGGGGGCTGATATACTCCAACTTAGCGACCGCTAGTGCACTCGTGCAAAACTGCGACGTCACAGTCCAGCTGCGGCCGATCGCAGACGTAGGCGAGGGCCCCCAACGCACAGGCCGTCACTGGGCTACGAACAGCTGCTGCTGCAAATCGTGCCCGGTGCTCTGTACTTTTCTGCACCGACATGCACTCGGCTCATCACTGCAACCTCGTCTGCGGCCACTCCGTCGGGCCGCGTCGCGGTAAAACCGCTTGCGCGATAGACTAATGTACGAAATACTTTTAAATGCGAAGCATTTCTTAGCGAACTTCGGTGACTTTGAGCGTATCTATCTATCTAGCCGCAAACGACTTTTAGCTCTCCAGGCTGCTTCGATAATGGTATCGATACCAAACTTGGCATGGCATAACATGACTACACGCAGATCATATTTGACTAGTCATAACATGAAAATCATTACATGTATGTCATAAATGTCATGTTTACAATTCGTGGTCATGCAGCTCTTGCGGTGGTTTCGTTCACATGGCATGTTGCAAAACTGGTATGTTTTGAAATGACTGCATGGCGAACAAAAGCGACAGACCCTAACATGAAAACCATGAGATTCGTGTCAAGTAACAACTTGTCTACATGCCACGCTCATGATGCGTTGGCGGCCATTTCGCTAGTGCAACATATACCAAATTCGCTAATACGGGAAGTGAATGGATGAGGAATGTATGATACTGGTGCAAACTTGATAAAAATGAGATGCGTTTTATGCAACAACATTACTACATGCTACGCTGATGGTGCACTCGCCGCCGTTTCGCTAGCCTCACATGTACCAAACTCGGTATAACGTGACGCGAACAGAGGGCATAGGTAAAGGACTAATCCAAACATGATAATCACAATATGCGTATCATGTAACAACATTACTGCATGCAACACTCATGATGCACTCGCCACCGTTTCGCTAGCTTCCCATATGCCACATTTTGTATTATGTGACGTCAATGGATGACGAAGGTTTTGACGGGTGCATACATGATAATCACGGGATCCGTGTCATGTGAGAACATGACTACATGCCACAGTCAAGGCGCCAAACATTTTGACGAGACGTGGTTTGCGTGCTCGCCGGCGTGCAGTTTGCTGCGTCTTGCCGGCGTTGCTCTGCCAGGCCCCGGTCCTGCGATATATTCGCAGGTGCGCCCAGGGCAGCGTTGCTTTGACGCATGCACGTTTGAGCGCGTCCAGCGTCTCCCCATCACGAAAAGAATGAGACGCAGTGTTGTCTGCATAACGCATCCGCTCAAAATGCAGCATGTCGTATTTCGCGCTGGTTGCCATCGGGCCGCGCCGACGGATGTTGGTCGTGCCTGTCGTGCCTGGCATCAGACTATCGAGTGCTCGCCTTTTGCTAACGTAGCGTCACTGTGCCCAGCATGCGCGCGAATCAACACTACACTGGAGTATGCCCTTCATGATGCGCTCGCGGCTGTTTTGCTTGCTCCACATAAACCAAATTCGGTGTTACGTGGCGTCAATGAATGACGAAATATATGACTGGTAAAAACATCATAATCCTGACATGCGTGTCATGTAAGCAAATGACAACTTACCACGCTCATTGCATGCTCGCGGCCGTTTCAATAGCTCCACGTATACTAAATTTGGTATCACGTTACGTGAATAGATGACGAAGGTAAACGACACAATTCGATTAAGTTAACCATGACTCGGAAGTCATGTACGGCATCATTTACCTCCAACTCGTAACGTTGTGCTTAAAGTGACATAACAACCCTTCTCATTCGTGCTTCGCATATCATCTATTCCCACTGTACGTGAGATCTGCCAATTTTTTAGGGTCGAAACTCCTTATAACGGCACCCGTTCGTCCCCCGTAGTATGTAACAAGTACAACATTTTGACCTCCAAGGTGGTGCCGGTGAGAGGCTTCTTCTGTGCGTTGTTGAACAATAAGAAATAGTGCTCAATGTACATGTCAATGGCTGCTTATGGGGAATGCGAGACAGGAGCACTCGGCTTTTAGTTAACGTGCAGGCTGCGATCACCATTAGCAGCCATTGGCATGTACATTGAGCACTATCTGACAAGAAAGGGTTGCTACGTTATACTCGCTGGGTGTAACCTCCTTAGCTTTAGAAAGGTTTAGCGAACGTTGAGCCACAGTGCCATGTATACAATGAATTTTTTATACCATGAATGAACTCGAGGTGGTTAAAAATGGGAAACAGATACGAAGCGCAAGCCGTAAGAAAGTAAAAGCCGAATTCTCCACCTCTCATTTCCCATTAGCAGCCATTGGCATGTACATTGAGCACTATCTGACTGAAAAAGTTTGCTACGTCATACTCGCTGGGCGTAACCTCCTTGGTTTTCGAAAGGTTTAGCGAGCGTTCGGCCGCAGTGCCATGAAAACAGTGAACTAGTATAGACCATGAACTCGAGGTGGTTAAAGGTGGGAAGTGGACCCGAAGCGCTAGCCGTAAGAAAGTGTGCATGTGCCACCTCTCGTTTAGTCCTTGGAATGTCCGCTGGATGGCGGTGCTTCTATATGGGGAATACATACATGCGAGATTGTGGTACTTGGAGTGTTGAATAGATGGACGAATGGACACATAGACAGATGCATGGATGGACGCATGAACGAACGCAGGGGCGGCTGCATGGAAAAATGGAGGGACGGACGCATGAACAGACGCAAGCACGGACGGCCTGATGGACGCATGGACGGTCACACTGACGGACGCATGGACGGACGGAAGCAAGAACGAATGGACGGACGAATTCTTCGCCCCACTCTCCATCACTCACTCCGTGGATATGCTGCCATTTTGTTCTTTGGAAGCATCTGTTCTAGCAGCACTGACACCATGGCACAGCGCACCAGCACCATGACGATATCTTGTTCTTCGCTTGAATCGAACTGTTTGACGCCCTTGGGAACGATGTGCGAGAACAGACGGTGGTGTTCGTAGTGGTTAGAAGATGAGAAAAGGCACCTAATTTCTGCAACCCGGACGGGAGCACGGCGCACTGCCTCGAGAACAGACGAAAACAATAAATGCGATGCGCTCGGTTTGCTCCGCTCACTGAGCTGGTGGAGATCAGCTGATTCCCTGCTGAAACGTTCCGTATGAAATCTTACGGCAAATATATGGACTCCGTAACATTTCCTTATGCTACATACGGAAAAAATATGGAGTTTTATGGAAATATACGGAAGTTGTATGGCATTTACGGAATGCTTCTTATGGAGTATAAGGAAGGATAAGGAAATTGTATGGCGTATACGGAACGCTTTTTATGGAGTATACGGAAAGATAAGGAAATTGTATGGCATATATGGAAAGCTTTTTATGGAGTATATGGAAGGATAAGGAAAGATAAGGAAACTTATGGAGCATACGGAGAGTTCATAATGGAAGATATGGAAGGATAAGGAAAGTGTATGGAGTGTACAGAAGCTTTCATAAGGAAAATGCAGAATGTAAGATCTTACGGAAATATACAGATTTTGTAAGGTGCTTACGAAAATGTGCAATAGTGTATGAAAGGCATGTGGATTGTTGCAAAAATGTGGAAACTCTACAGTTGTTGTCACATTTTAAGCAGGAAGTCCGAGCTCTATAAAGTTATAAATGAATGCACAGTGACATATATAGTACAAAAGAATAACGCAGGCTAGTCTGTGTTGTCAGTCACCGCTGTTCGCCCTTTTCCAGAATGAATACAACTTCTGCAGATGACCAGGTGCTAAAGTCTGTCACACGGAAAATGTGTCATTCACAAGGAATGACAATAACTGTCAATTTACTTGCATGCTGTCACACGAAAACAAATTAGGCAAAAAAAAGATAACTTCAAGGGCTCGTTTTTCGGTAGAAACAATAATAATGAGAACTAAATTCAATGTGAATGAACTTGTCAATATTAATGAACTGTTCTCATTAACATTGGCAAAGAGAAATGTCATTTTAAAATATCGACCATGAGCTTAGCTCTCCTGAGCACCGACAAAAGAAATGAAAATCTGTGAAAACTAATTGCATGTAGCCTAAAAATAATTTTTTATTGATAGTATGTGCTCCTACAATATAAATACAGCTATACACAACTTGCCACAGCTTCACGACAGAAACGAGGTAGGGGCAGAGGGAGTGGTCAGAAAAATAATTAAGTGTAAGAGCACAACTGATATGTAGAAACACATAATGGTGCTTATCACTGATGCACGAATGGTCGTGTATAGAGCTGGGTCGTTTTGAGATTTTCAAAAGCATTCTTTCAGACTACCATGCAGATTACGCCTCAATTGTAGTGCTACATAAGACACAACTTATGGACCAGCTTTAATGAATAAGAAGATTATAGGTTAAACAAATGCTTTAAAATATATCATATCGTGGCTGCATGGACGCATACAAGCTATGTAAAGCGCAATAAAGTGAGGACGCACGAGCTTCTCTTGATGCTTCAGTTCTACATAGATGCTTCAACTGTGCTGCAAAGAAATTTAACCAATGTCTGTGTGTGCAACATTGTCCATTTTAAACTATCTATATGTATATATAAAATTCCTACTGCGAGTTAAGCTACGTAGCACTCCATACCTCTTTCTTTTATTAAGGGCAATTTTTCAAACAATCAACATTATTCATTTTCTGTCTGATGACTTCGTGCCCGCAATTCTTGGTTTGGCTCGATCACAATAGACCATATGCGAAATTGCTTTGTGCTCTGGCAACACTGTGTACTTCGACCCCGCCGCCATTTTAATGTGGGCGAGCGGTCGACGGAAACGCGTTCGCTAGTACGGCCGTACGACTTCTGAACACCCGCTTCACTGCGCTGAGCTACTGCGATGGCCACAGCAAGACGTTTCCCAGTGCCCGAACATGTGATGTGGACAAACTGTTTAGAAAACTTGCCGCATATATCGAACGACACTGTAGCGGACCTAATAAACCAGGCGCCGACGTCATCCAAGCAGCAAACAAAATCTTATGCCTTCGCCGTGGAAGCGTACACCTTGCCGTCGTCGGTTGTGACCAACGCCTGTGACACAAGGTAGGTAAGCGACGTTTTGTGTAACCTTCTGAAAGCATGCAGTGCTTTTCCTTTTGGAGCAACGTACAAATAGTGCCGCCAATGTTAACGTCGTGCGGGCGTTCTCGGCGAGGTCGGTCATGTCACTGCGTGTTTCTTTCACTACGCGTGCTCACGTGCTTGGATAACTTGTCATTATGGCTTGGCAAGAGGAGGCTATGGTTTGGCGTTTATTTTTAGCACGTCCGATCAGCAGGCGTGATCGCGCAGCAACTTCGCAGCTCTTCCGGTGGTGCAGTGTGCATGCCTTGAAGGACATCGCTCGTACTATCAAAACAGTTTTTTGCGCAAACAAATTTCGCGTCCGCACGTATGCATTACTGGTGTAATATTAATGTGCTGCCTTTACGAATGCGCATGCTGCTTTGTATAAAACACGACGTACGCTAATTTGTTCACTAAACATTTAGACTAAACGGGTCTACAAGGACAGCTAGAAAGAACGGAACTGATCCACCGCAAGTGTCAACGTAAGTTAACAGTGGGACTCCTTAAAAACCTGATTCATTCAGTGCATGTTGGTTTGGAGATTTTTCAGCAGCATTGGCATGTGGTTTTACAACTCGTCAATAAAAAGCAGTGTTTTTTTATGTTCCACTAGAGGTTGTTCACATCGAATCACTTCATGCAGGTTTTGTATTATTGCACTGTAACGTCAGCTGCGCAGGGGTTTTCCCGAATGACATAGTCATTACTTTGTGGAGAGTAGGTTGCATAACCTTGTTGTTTGCATAAAGCTGTCATGGCAAGTGCCACGACAGCTTTATTCGTACTTGTGATTTGGCACTCGGTAAAAAGATGACAAACTCGACTGTGTGCAGCTTACAAAGTTCTTTTTTTGTTGTTGTTGTTGCTCTTACAGTCTCGGGATTGTCTATGCACGTGCCACGTGCTACCGAAGCCAGAAGAAGAGTGGGCAGCCGTACAAAGTCAGCTTGGCTTTGAAAAGCGACAGTGGAGCAGTGGCAGATTCCACTTGTGAGTGCCCCGCTGGGGCTGGTGGTGCCTGCAGCCACATTCTTGCGGCTCTGCGCCTAATTGTTCTGCTGAAGCAGAAGGGCTTCAAAGAGGCACCACCAGAGCTTTCATGCACCGAGTTGCCGCAGCAATGGAGGCGCCCCGACGACAAGGCATCAGGCCTATGGCCGTGCAGAACGTGGACTGGCGGAGTCCACGTGAGGGTGGCATGGGCATGCCAATGCCCGTGCAACTTTTTGATGCGCGGGCTGAGGAGCAAAAGGAGCAGCAACACCTTGAAGCGATCCATAGCCTGGAAGAGGACCTCCAGAGCCTCGGGACCTTCGACTTTGCTGCCATTCTCCTTGCTGCTGGGGGGCCGTCAGTGGACACAAAGCTTGGGCCTGCGCCTGCGGGGTCTGCACTGTCGTACCAGCAGGCAAAACTCCCTGCAGGCTTCACTACGTGGATGTCACCCAGCATTTCGCAAGGGGCAGCCACCGTGACACCAGTGCCAGCTTTGACTCTGTTTAGTGACGGAGCCTCACAGCCACCCTTGCCCGGCAGATTCACGGCTGAAGGATGGAGGATGTTGACTGTAAGTGCAGTATAGAAAAGATACTTCTCTCTGCACTGGTGGAGTGTGTACCATTGATGCTTTTAACTGATTAGGTGGACATAGATGTAGAGCACATTCAGCCTAGAAATATTCTTATGCAGTCCTCTGTAAAAAGAGAAAAGGAGAAAATTATGAATGCCCTATTTGCTTCCACCAAATGTTACAAATGCCAAGACAATGGCCCCAGTGATGATAGTGGTTAAGCAATTTTAAACTACAGGCAAACCCAGCACTAATGCTGTGCTTTATTTTATCAGTGCAGATCATTGCTTTATGTTCTACGCTTTGAAGGATGTTAAGCTGTGTGGTTATTAAACAGTCTCACTCATATGTGCTTCTACAGGCTAACATTTGCTATTTGCTAGCTTTACCACCCAATATCCGTATTTTGATTCATTTCAATGCATCAGTGTAATGTAAACCAAGACTTACACTTAATCGAACTTGGGGCCACTGTCGATTGCATGTCCTCTGATTTTGTCAAACCTGCATTATAACAATAGAGTTTTAGAATAGGGATGACCGGGCGCTAACGCTGCGGCGGCAGGTGGTGGAGCCCGACTCAGGTGCGCATTCATTCTGTGGTGCAAACACCGATGCCTCGGTTGGGGTGTGTGCCACTCTCAAGCCCAAATCTCTAGCTACTTTTGCGAGGACGACAAACACCCCGTTGTTTTTTTGTTTTTTTTTCTTCAAGTCTAAAAACCACTCCTAATCACACACTCTCTGTCTGAGCTGGATCCTGTGAAAAGCTCTGACACAAAGGCGACAAGGCCATTAGGCAGGACGCCGATGAGTCCCTTGAATGTGTTGCTCGACTTGTATGGGGAGTACGTTGTAGACTGTAGGAACAAGGATGATGGCACCTCGCACTGTATTTCCGTGGCGTCCAGGATTACTCGAGTCGATGAATACTTTTCCTTAAACTCGGGTGGCATTGTAGCATCTACAATTCTTCTGGAGCCCACAGAGGTAACAGGCCTAGTTTGGCATACAGGAAGTTAATCCACGATGTGCATATTCTTGACACAGTTGACTGGGCAATGCAGAACCTGTGAGCCAAATCATCTTCAAACAGGCCGAGGCGCAGTCGGACTAGCACCAAAAACAGCTCATTTTCCGTGCTTAGTTTTCTCTTCCGCCCTCGCGATGATCTGGGTTCACTGCTTTCTGTACGTTCTGAACGTAGAACATTGCACCCGTCATCACCGGGGTTCAAGTAGACCAGAAGTTTCTTGAAATGGTTGTAGCTTGGCAGCCCAGTGTAAAATAGCATGTCTTCGTCGCAGTCCTTGAACCGTTCCACTGTGAAGGGAGCCGTTCGTTCTCTTTCAGCAGCAAGTTGGCAACTCAAGGACACCTTTTCGAAGCCCAGTTGCCCGATGATTCCTTTTGCATCAACAAGCTGCTCCTTGATTTGGCAAAGCTCGTCTCGGAGCCGCGCGATTTCGTGGTTTTTCTGTTTTATCGTTTCGGCCAAATGTGCATTTTCACCTTCAAGTGAGCTGTTGAGCCTAGTGGGTTTCTCTAGACCTACCGGTGCTGCCTTCACTTCATCTGGGCTATGCATAAGCTCATCCCCTAGCACTCCTGGGCCTAGAACCGGGTTTTGGCTTCTTACTTGTGGTGAAGCACGTGGCTTTGGGGGCTTCCGTTCTTTCTTTTCCTTGGAAAAAGCAAAAACTGACGGAACTGCCGAGTCCCGAAGGAGGCTGCGGCCACTCACAACGCTAGGTATAAAGTCCGATGACCTAAAATGCTTCGAGCCGACCTTCGTTGACTTGCCGACTTGAAATTCCGGGCCTTCATCCCTCTTGATCGCAACAATCCACTTCTTGTATATCATTGCATCTTTCGGAAAGCGGTGGAAGAATACCTACAAGATATAAGCAAACAAACATTCAGTGCGACGTCATGAGCTAGGTTTCTCTTAGCTGTTTGATTGTTGTTTACAAACACAGGCACTATCACAAATTCATCTCACAAAGAATAGAAATCACACTAATACGTGCATTGCAGGACTAATGATGCACTTGTAATGTGACCCACCCCCCTCAGTTTTTTCTGCGCACACTCCCCTTTTCTAGCAGCCTTTCCTAGATATGGCCCTTCACAGCAAGCCTTAAGAGGCATTAGTAACTTGTGGACACTGGGGGAATTTAAATCAGTTATTTTTTATCTCCAGGTAGCTTCAAAGGTTTCTATGATCTGCGAGTCTAAGGCAGCCAAAAGGCAGAATACCGTACAACTAAGTTATGGCTGCCTCCACAGCTGTATGTTTGATAATGCAACATGAAACATTTTTCAGGTGAGGTGAGTTGCAACACAACCAAACAGCTGCAACACAACTGAGCCGAAGAGACTAAAATGCAGAAAATGAATCCCGTCTCACGAATAAATGGAACTGCCGCGCTCTGAACTCATGCAGAACGTCATTCAGTCAAGCCCTGGCGATACTCATGGTACCAGTTTTCCAAACCTACGGCAGCGCGCCCCGCCATCTTTTCAATTTTATTTCGTTGGTAAAGGAATATCGGTGAGAGAGGACTGAATGGAAAAGTTGCGTCCGCGCACGTTGGGGGAACTGAAGTTAAGCGCCTGAGCAGATACTTTTCTGTTCGAAAGTGGGCATAGCCCTCATCTTCCGAATGACAGTTTTATTGCTGCGCGGTGACCGTACTTGGGGACACAACGGAGTCTGAACGCGGACAAGCAACCGAGTTGCCTTTCTAGGATGCGTGTACGGCATGTTACTCGGAGTAGCGGAAGCACTACACGTCTCTGTGCGCAATCACTTTCAAAAATAACATTTATACGTCGTCTACCTACATGGTGTAATCTCATCACAAAACAGCCCGTCCTAACAATTCGGTTCTATCACACTAGTTACCCCAACAGCAGCGGCGCACTCTCCACTCGACTGCAGAGAATCACCGGGGCTCTTCGATTTACCATCTCGGACTCGCCGCTGGTAGTCCGAGGATTCCCCGAAGCCATAGGGAAATTCGAATGCCGGACAGCTTCTTGGCGAGTCCGAGGCGGTAAATCGAAGAGCACCACTGTCGTGGAGAGGGCCGACGTAGTGAAAACACCTAGCCGCAAAGCTGACAAACCTATAAAAACACGGCCTCTCTGAGTAACACAGAAAAATGGTTAGTCCTGCATTGCTCTCGTGCAGCCCGTGCACCGCGGAGATTCATGCAACCTAGAATGTGCACATAAAGCTTCTGCACGCCATACCCTGTTTTGCATTTAAATGATCGTTGCAAAAACGTAATTCATGCCATATACCTTTCTCCCATCGCTGTCTGTGACTCCGCGCTGCTTGCACAGCGGTACACAGCAGTGTACTGGCATTTCGCCAGCAAAAAAAAAAAAAATCTGACTGCGACAGTCGAAGCGCGTACATTCCGTGGTACGCTCGCATGCGGGTCGCCCGTGCGTAGTGGTCGAGCCTCGCCAGCATCAAAATGGCGGATAGGGTACCTGCTGCGTTCACTAGATGGCGCTGTTAATTTCGCACATTGCCTATTGTGCAGCCCTTATTTTGGAGGAATCAAAAAACATCAACCAAAATATATTTTGGAACTGCTTCTAGGTGATATTGCCTTTCCTGAACTGCCACAGCTTGAGATGAGTCATATAGCAAGTCTCGCGCATACCTAGGGCCTACCCTTGAAGAAACTGGTCTGGCTGTGAAATGCTCAGTTTTTTCACAAATAAATTTTTTGGTTTGAGTTTTCTCACTTCTCGAGTCCCTTCACAATCAAGCAGACCCATTGTTCCCCTTAGTCCTTAATTTTGTTATATTATGAAATAAATAAAAAAAATTAATAATGAAAATAAAAATACTAATAGTTCTTGCGCAAAAAACACAGTCCCACATACGTACTTGAACGCAATATTGCTTTTATTTTGTTTTAGAACCTAAGGCATTAGAAAAGATAGCAGTACAATAAAAACGTTGAAAAAAAAACAAAAGAAAGTAAACTTGGTGGGACTCGAACCTGAGCCACTTAGTTGTGCTCGCGTACGTGATCTGAGTGCTTTAACTTGCTAAGCTATTCGCGCTGAAGGTAGCACGTGAGTTTAAGTTATGTATATAAGTTTGCTTTTTACACGCTATGTGTTGGCATATTTATGTACGATATGCGATCGTATCTATTGTTGTGTGCAAATGTTTTGGGATTGTATATACGTCACATGCTTTTCGCATGTCTTTCAACTATAGATTGCTGCCCCGCCGCGGATGAAAACAAGTATTTTTACACCCACACACAAGCTTGAGCAGTTGAAGGTTGTTACCCGGGGCTCTCTTGCGAATGAGTCGGCCACCACAGGGAATTAGAGTGATACGCCATTAATCCCTGCATCTAGCTGTATTCCACTTAGTAGCTCTATCGATTGATGACAAATCGAGCGCGGGGCGCGACGCTATTGCGCACGACCATGCCTCGCGTAGCGGCGACATCAGCTGATTGCGCCGGCCGGCTTGCTTCGATTTGCTTCAGAGCAAAGAAATGTCATACCTTGAAAGATTGCGTACTGCACTATGTCAAAATGCTACTGCTTTGTAGCCATCCTATGATTCATTGAGAATTGATAACTCTGATATCACTACTGTGGAGCTTTGCGTCAGCGACACGCACCGAACGTGAAACCGCACTACGTCTGTCGTAGAAGCAGTAGGAGGCTGTCGTCTGCTAGAACAAAAACAAAACAAAGACCTGCGAAAATATTCATAAGTTGTAACTTGTTTTTTGAATAACCGTTTATCGCTTTTAAAGTTATTTTGCCAGATAACATACATTTTTTTTAGTTTATAGCAGCGACAGATGTTTTTTTTATTTTTCTCACACAGATATCTAAGTCAAATCCATTCACAGCTAAAGCCACATGTTGTTTGTCTTCTTTGTTTCTGTGGGCATGCCCTTTCGGTGCGTGCCTCATGTGTTCGCGCTGCTACACACGAGAGCATGAAATGTTAAATTTACGCAAGGAAGCGCCGTTCCTCGTTCGTGTGATGGGCTAAGATTGCGCCCTATTCCCGTGGTTGTCCGAGTGCGGATCAAGTGCGAGTCGTCCAAGGAATCAGCGGGTTGGGCGGGCGCTCGAAGGACTCCGAGGTGACGGCTGACGCCTGTGGTCGCTTCCCTCAGGACAGTGTGAAAGAAACTAAAGGTAAGGGGGACACTTTTTATGTAGACCAAGTATGCCACTCAGTGCAAGTGTGTGTTGCTGCACTCGAACGAGGCGTCGTGAAACGGCAACCTTACGTGCCTTCGCGAGTGCGGTTGCCGATTCGCTTTGACAACGCTAACGCCAGCAGAGCCATGGCGCATCGGCGCGGCCATACTGGAGCTAATTCGAGACAACTGCGGCAACATGCGTGTGTATGGTGATCGATTTTTTCATATGTGCATTGTAGTGAGGAAGACGCACACGGCGCTTGCTACGTTGTTGATTAAACGAAGCCTGCAGTGCCACTTGATGCAAAGCAGCATTTTGTTTACGTTCGCGGGCGATACAATTTGTAACTTAGCTCGATTCACCTAGCCAACTGCCTAAGTGGGTTGATTAGCATACGTTCACGGTAGAGCGTTATTATGCCCCTAAACAGTGGCGTGTGCTTGTTGAAAGATATAATGTGTGTGCCTAGTGTGGAGAGAGAGAGAGAGGTGTTCGTGCAATCTGCATGTTTACCTGCAAGACGCCTTTGCTTGTAACTATAATGTACCGGCCAGCACCTACATTGTACGCCTGACTTTGAAGAAAACTTGCATGCACAATGTGAGATTTTGTAATCTGCCAGAGTTGCTTTTTATGAAATATTACACTGCCAGCATGTTCAAAATATGTTTCGCTGCTGCGTGTCAGGGGTGCGGTTATCACGCTGTTGTGTAGTTGCTGATGCAAGCACTTATAGTTTTGATGCGTTAATATTTCTCATCTAACTCATCAGGTGTTTGGCTGTTTCATCACAAACAAGGCAAAGAGAGAAGGAAGACGGGTAATGACAGGACCAGTGCCGACTTTTGTTTGCAGGAGAATACCCATGTTGGTGTATTTATTGTGACAGCCTTTCTGTGTTGCTTTTTTGCCCAATTTATGCAACAACACAGTTGTCAGCAATATGAGAGAGAACACTGAAATTAGCTTTTAAAGATCATGGTTACTAAATGCCTAGTAACTCACAGCACAAAGTAACAACAAAAGACATCAGTATGATCAATGTGGATGAGTACAGTCTTGCATCTAAAAATTATATTGTGCAAAATGTTGCCTAAGTAAGAAACCTCTCTATGTTTGCAAATAGTGTGACGTCACTTCGAGCACCGTGCCAGCCATTCCCTCCCTCTGTGCAAGGGCTGGTTGGCAAGGAAGTTGTTTGTGACGTTCCTGATAGACCACTGAGATGTATGCGATTCTAAACCTGTAGCCTAATATATACGTAATCTTTTGTGCAGTTACATCGCTGCATCTGACACCTACAACTTATTTGCATATTTATATTGCTCCCTTAGGACCTAACACACAATCTTGTTTGCATTGTCACTTCATGAATATCGAGCGGTAAAGGTACTGAGTATATGTGAAACAAGAATCTCTGCTTATTACATGAAGAAATATGAGGCCTTCGATAAAACGAGTTATACCTTTATTGAGCTTGCGTACTCGTCGGGGCGATTCATACAGGCAGCTTCAGCAAGTGGTATCTTCCAGCCCGGTGACCTTGCAATTTTTTTCTGCACACAGGGCAAACACCGAGATGTACCCACTCGCAGATGGTCAGGTCAAGTGCATATTTACCTTGACTAAAATGTCGAATCAAGTTTTTTCATCGAC